TTTTTTGGGTGATTAGTGCATTCCAGTGACATAAACGTACAGTTTCCAGCCAACGGCAAGCTGCAATTGACCGATTGTGTGCAATAATAAACTGACTTTCTGCTTCACAACCACCATTGTACGTTCAAAGAGTTAGATCCATTTACACGCCGGGTGGCGGGGTAATATTTTTTGGGTGATTAGTAGTGCATTCCAGTGACATAAACGTACAGTTTCCAGCCAACGGCAAGCTGCAATTGACCGATTGTGCTAAATAAACTGACTTTCTGCTTCACAACCACTATTGTACGTTCAAAGAGTTAAATCCATTTACACGCCGGCTGGCGGTAATATTTTTTGGGTGATTAGTGCATTCCAGTGACAGAAACGTACAGTTTCCAGCCAACGGCAAGCTGCAATTGACCGATTGTGTACAATAAACTGACTTTCTGCTTCACAACCACCATTGTACGTTCAAAGAGTTAGATCCATTTACACGCCGGGTGGCGGTAATATTTTTTGGGTGATTAGTGCATTCCAGTGACATAAACGTACAGTTTCCAGCCAACGGCAAGCTGCAATTGACCGATTGTGCTAAATAAACTGACTTTCTGCTTCACAACCACTATTGTACGTTCAAAGAGTTAAATCCATTTACACGCCGGGTGGCGGTAATATTTTTTGGGTGATTAGTGCATTCCAGTGACATAAACGTACAGTTTCCAGCCAACGGCAAGCTGCAATTGACCGATTGTGCTAAATAAACTGACTTTCTGCTTCACAACCACTATTGTACGTTCAAAGAGTTAAATCCGGTTTTATTTTTGGGGTGCTTATTGAATTAAATAGTATGTCAGACAACACGCAGAGGAGTGGCAGAGGAGGCAATGTTTCAGGAGCGAGCAGACGTGGCAGCAGAGGAAGGGGTCGAGGCAGCAATAGTCGCAGCCAGAGGCCAGTGCTCCCGGTGTCATCCAGCGGTCGTGTCTCCACCGACAACCCTGCCGTCATCGATTGGTTGACTCGGTCGTCTTCCTCTTCCCAGGTCACCTCTGACACCTACAGCCAACGGTCAGTGGGTACGTCAGACACAACCGTTAGTTGGCATGGCCCGGGAGCAAGCCCACTGAAATCACGTGTCCTCGACCTGCCCCTGTCCTTTGGTGTTCCCTCACCAAGCGAAGTATCGCATGCTGTGGGCTCAGCCCCACTGTACAGTGAGGAAGAGCTAACAGAGGGCGGTCAGGAACGGGGGGAGACATCCGCCTCTTCAGCAGCCATGCGAAGAAGTACTGGCGACGAGAGTGGCTCGGTAGCCGGTCTAGAGACAGGTCTGTCTCCTGACCCACACGCAGCCGAGGGGGCTAGTAGTGACGCGGAGACCCTAATTGATGATGATGAGGCTGATCGCACTTGGCAGCCTCGTCGTCATCAGGCTATTGCTTCCGCATCATCAGGAGAAGAGGGTGCCAGCTTGCCAGCGAGCAAAACAGTCGGTGTGGGTTGCCCAGGAGGCAGCAGGGTCGCAGCAGTGTCAGTGGAGCCAAACGGCCACGGAGTAGAAGCACCAGCTCCACTGCAGCCTACCACCACGGCCAGTAGTGGTGCCGGTGTGCACGGAGGAAGTAGCAGTCAGCCAGTGAGGAGTAGCAGGGGCAAAGTTTCCTACTCGGCGGTGTGGCAATTTTTCGTCATGCCGCCCGAGGAAGTAAACGTAGCCGTATGTCGACTATGTGGCCAGAAAGTCAAGCGTGGGCCAGGGGGCCAATGTTGGGACTACAGCGTTGCGTCAGCATATGCAGCATCGCCATTCGGTGGCCTGGGAAAAACCGTGATAAAGATACGGCGGTTCTGCCTGCCCCAGCCCCCGCTCCATCACCCGCTCCGTTACTTGCTCCGTCACCCGACGTCAATCGCCCTCTATCAGCCAGTCAAGGCTCCAACACCTCTGCTGAGGGGAGTTGTCGCTCGTTGGCATCTTCCGCTCGTTCAGATGCTCCTTCTCCTGCTACTCCTCTTCACGGATTCCGTCAGCAGTCTTTCTTGGAATCCGTTTCCAAGAGACAAAACAGTTTGCGAGCACGCACCCGACGGTGCAGAAGCTGAACGTCCTCCTGTCCAAGTTGCTGGTGCTGCAGTCCCTCCCTTTCCAAGTGGTGGACTCAGCACCTTTCCGAGAAATGATGGCTTGTGCCGAGCCGCGGTGGAGAGTGCCAAGCCGGCATTTCTTCGCCAAAAAGGCAGTGCCAGCCCTGCATTCACATGTAGAAGAGATGGTGGGCCAGTCTTTGAGCATGTCGGTCTCTGCCAAAGTGCAACACGGCAGCGCCGACGTGTGGAGCTGTAACTACGGTCAGGGACAGTACATGTCATTTACGGCCCCACTGGGTGAACGTGGTGCCAGCACAGCCGCACCAGCAACTTGGACAGGTCACGCCGCTTTTGCCTCCACGTTTGCACGTCCTTGGTCCAGCAAAGATGTCCGCCTCTACCACCTCTTCTTCCGCCGTGTCCTCAGCCGCCACCCCCGTGCCAAGTCCCATTACCCGACCGGCATATCACATGTGCAGGGCGCAACGGTGTCACGCTGTGCTGCACCTGGTATGCCTTGGCGAACGTAGTCACACAGGGGAGGAACTTCTCAGTGTAATGAACAGAGAGAAATCGACAGATGGCTGTCTCCGCACAAACTGAAAATCGGAACCATGTTGACCGACAACGGAAAGAACATGGTGTCTGCTCTGCGTCAAGGAAGGTTGTGCCATGCGCCATGCATGGCTCACGTGTTCAATCTGGTTGTCAAGCGGTTCCTAAAATCCACCATCCCACTGCAAGACATCCTTAAAATGTCACGTAAACTTTGCATGCATTTCAGCCATTCCTACACCGCAAAGCACACCCTCCTTGAGCTGCAGCGGCAGAACGGAATTCCACAGCATCCCCTGATCTGCGACGTTGCAACAAGGTGGAATTCAACCCTACATATGTTAGATCGCCTTTACGAACAGCGAAAGGCCATCACCGATTTCCTGATGTTACAAGCGGATAAAGGTACTCCCCTGTGTAACTTAGATGTCAGCCATTGGCAGCTCATGCGTGACACCTGCCGCTTGCTCAGGCCCTTTGAGGAGGCCACGCTATTCGTGAGTCGGCAGGACTATGGGATGAACGACGTCATTCCTCTGTTGCACGTCCTGGAACAAATGCTGTTAACAATGGCTGGTCAGGGTGCGGGTAGACGTGGCGCACAGATCTCAACGCCACATGACCCCTGTGGGGGCAGGACAGGAAGAAGAGGAGGAGGTAGAGGAGGACATTGGTGCTCAGGAATTATTGAGTGAAATGGGTGGTTTTTTTCCACTCAGCGGACAGGAGTGGAGGAGCAGGAGCATCTTAGAGGAGGAGGAGGAGACAGAGGACCCAGACGCACCGTGGCAGTATGCTGTGGAGATGGAGGCAGGGAGTCCCTCGCATTCCTTGGCACAAATGGCCCATAGCATGCTCGGTTGCTTGCGTAGCGACAGCCGAATAATAACCATCAGACAGAGGGATGACTTTTGGCTGTCCACCTTGTTGGACCCTCGCTACCGTTCAAAAATGGTGGCCTTTTTCACACCTGCTGAGAGGAGGCCAAAATAAAGTACTATAAAAACCACCTATGTAGTCATGCAGTATATAGCCCTATCGGCCACTTTCTGGCATCCAGTTGCTGTAGCCCCCATCACCACACTGTGCCACGGGCCCCTGTACCGCCTTCTCATACTGCTGCCAGATCCATCCTCTGCCATGTGCGTCTTTGTCGTCTGCTCACGCTGCTGGGTTCCAGTTTTAAACCTAGGCCTGTGTATGGCTTCCGAATACTGCTGCCTCCACACCGCCACCCTGCGCCATGTGCCACTTTCAGGTCTCCTTATACTGTTAGTGGGTTCCATTTTGTGATAGGGTGCTGTATGGCCTTCCATTGCTGCTGCCTCCACCGCCACCCTGCGCCATGTGCCTCTGTCGTCTGCTCACGCTGCTGACGGCTTCCGCTTTTTAAACGAGGCCTGTGTTTGGCTTCCGAATACTGCTGCATCCACCGCCACCCTGCGCCATGTGTCTCTGTCGTCTGCTCACGCTGCTGACGGCTTCCGCTTTTTAACCTAGGCCTGTGTATGGCTTCCGAATACTGCTGCCTCCACAGCCACCCTGCGCCATGTGCCTCTGTCGTCTGCTCACGCTGCTGACGGCTTCCGCTTTTTAAACTAGTCCTGTGTATGTCTTCCGAATACTGCTGCCTCCACCGCCACCCTGCGCCATGTGCCACTTTCAGGTCTCCTTATACTGTTAGTGGGTTCCATTTTGTGATAGGGTGCTGTATGGCCTTCCATTGCTGCTGCCTCCACCGCCACCCTGCGCCATGTGCCTCTGTCGTCTGCTCACGCTGCTGACGGCTTCCGCTTTTTAACCGAGGCCTGTGTTTGGCTTCCGAATACTGCTGCATCCACCGCCACCCTGCGCCATGTGTCTCTGTCGTCTGCTCACGCTGCTGACGGCTTCCGCTTTTTAACCTAGGCCTGTGTATGGCCTTCAATTGAAGCTGCTTCTGCTCCGCCACTCTGCCATTGGACTCTTGATAGTCGTCTCCCCACGCTGCTGCTGGGGGGACTTTTTAACATAGGCCTCTGTATGGCCTTCAATTTTAGCTGCTTACGCTCCGCCACTCTGCCATGGGCCCCTGTACCGCCTCCTCATGCTGCTGCCAGGCCCGTAATCTGCCATGGGCCCCCATACCGACTCCTCATGCTGCTGCCAGGCCCGTAATCTGTCATGGGCCCCTGTACTGCCTCCTCATGCTGCTGCCAGGTCCAGAGTGTGTCATGGGTCCCTGTACGGCCTCCCATTGCTGCTGTCTCCATCGCCACACTCTGCCATGTGCCACTTTCAAGTCTCCTCACACTGCTGGTGGGTTCCATTTTGTCATAGGGTGCTGTATGGCCTCCCATTGCTGCTGCCTCCACCGCCACACTGTGGCTCCACACTCTGGTTTTGGCCCCGTGACTGCCCAAATGAGTGAAGTGTGCGGTGATTCTAAGATCGACGGCACTCATCTGCATGTCATACTGACTGACAGTATTATTTCTCTTCCCCAGCAGACTCCAAGGGCATTTAAATTAAAGGTACAGTGTTCTGCACTAATATAAAGGCTCTCTGAAGCCTAGAAACACCCTTTTTATAAGTTAAATTCGCAGCGAATATATTCGGCACGAAGCAAATTTAATCAGCGAATTCGGCGAATCGGCCGAACCGAATTTTTGAATAATTCGCTCATCTCTAATAATCACCACAATCGGCTCTTGCTGAAATCCAAGGTAGCTCTGTTAATGCAGGTGAACAGCTTGAGGGAACCGGGCCCAAGGACAAAGGGCTACTCCACTGAAATTGGAGTACTCTGGTGGCAATTGGGGAGGGTTTCCCCACAGTACGTGGGTCTTCTGGAGAAGCTGCAAGCCTCTAGATTCTTCTCTGGCTGCCCCCACACCAGTTCTGACAGTGGACTCTCTTCTGGCTGCAGACCATGTGCCCAGCTACCTCTGCCTCATCGGTTGTTGCCTCTCTAAACTTCTGAGAGAGGGAATCAGAGAAACGTAAATTCCCTGGGTGTATACAGAAACCCTGGAGGTTGTGGAAAATGGAGTTAAAGAGACCCTGACATGGTGATCTATTTGTTTTATGTCTGGGAACAATCATGCAGATCAGTAATGTAAAACTGGAGCCAAAACTCCTAACATGCATACAAGGTAGAGGTCAGATTTTAGAAAGTAATGGGTCAGTATGATCACCAGGTAACTAGCATTGAATGAGAGGTCAGCAATAGCAGCCCACTGAATGCCCAATCCTTTCTTTTATGTCATGCAAAACCTAGAAGTGAGATCTTCCTGCCAAAGGTTTTCACCATTGTCATACTGTGAAATGGTTTGTTCTGTGAGTAGAATGTTACAATAGCATCGATTATTCACAATTTATTGTTGAATTTCCCAGATAATGCAATCAATGAGGAGAACAGAGAATATTGATTGGGTTTCAGTAGGCTTCTGCAATACTTGGAACTAGGGATGAGCTCAGGTGCCTTCGGACAAAAATTGAAACCTACCTGAGCTATCCTGTCAAGAAGACGTCGCTGTGGACAACCAATCATAACCAACTGATGAACTCCTCCATCAAATGCCTAACTGTAGCTGAGGAGTGCTTTAAAGGCCTAAAGCTGTGCATAGCTTACTGTAAGATTTTCAAATACTTTGTTGTTGTGCTTACCCCTTTAGAGCTGCTGTTTCTCAGGTTCCTTGTTCCTGTGCCCATGACTTCGTGAACAGCCCCACACACCCTGACACACCTGGCTGGATGGGAATATTTATTGCAGATGTACTGTAGATGCAGCACCCCAAAGGCAAAACAAACATGAGATACCAGCAATAATATAGACAACAGAAATATATTGCAAACAGGTGAACAATAAAAAGAAATACACTGTAAAGAAACAATCAATTTGGGTGTAGAGAGCAACTCCCCTTAAATCATTTGCTGGGGCAATCCTAACTAAGGAGAACTATGTCACACTAACAGTTCAGCAGGCTGTAATATAATCTCTTTTGCTAGCCATCTCGTTGGGGCCCAACTGTTATATCAGAACACTCAGGATAGTTTCCCCTTAAGCACTGATAATGTTACTGACTCTGTGATGCTCACAGGCAAAACTGTCCCTCTTTTGTAAAGTGTAATGTGGATTTGGCCATTGACCTCTCACCAACTCCTATGTCAGCAGGTGGTCTTCCTCTGTTCACTGTGTGACGTGTAGCCAGTCAGTGTCTGCAGCATCCTTCCCCTTGGTCAGGCAGCAGGCTCCTCCAATATCCATGGCTCTCTCCAATGGCCCAAGATGTCTGTAACTATGTCTCTCTCTCAGGTGCAGCAGTGGACAGTCAGCTAGCAGCCAAAGGTGCATTTAGTCCTTTCAGAAGGGGCTTTCACACTTCTTGTCCTCAGCCCTGCAAAACAGTAGGAAACCACCTCTCCTCTTTGCCCCCATGCCTTGTGGGATTTGCAGTTTATTCCTTTCAGTTTACCAAGCCAGCTCAGTCTGTCAGAACTATACCCCCCACAATCCTTGCAGTTCACATCATTTGTACATACCTATTGGGTAGAGCAGCCTTTCTCAACCAGGGTGCCCAGGCACCCTGGGGTGCCTTGAGGTTTATTCAGGGCTGCCTTGGCAAAATGTCTAAAAATTGCCCAAAATTTGTATACAAGCCAGCGGGTGGATCAAGCCTGCCTTTTAGTTACACAAAGCCACAGGTTTTCATTGTGCACCATTACGACCTTCTAGCCGCTGGCATCCTGACAACCAATGACATCATCAGTTGATAAGGAGGATGTCAATTGCCTGCACAGCATCCTAGTTTGACCCTCCCCTGCCCCTCTACATCAGTGCTGGGGTCACATTAGCTCAGTGAGGGAGAAGAGAAACACTGGAATACTAGTCAGTACCGGTGTGCAAAAGTGTATTTGCTTTGAAAGAATAAATCACCATAATGTTGGGTGCCCTACATGTGTGGATGTTGCTGCGTTATATAAAACTATTAGAATAGTTTTTCACATTTAAGAATGGGGTGCCCTTTTAAAATTATGGACAGTCTTAAGGCACCCCATTTTAGAATTCTAAAATGGGGTGCCTCAAGACTGTCCATAATTTTTAAGGGTGCCTCGGAACTGTCTATAATTTTAAAGGGTGCTATGACTGAAAAAAGTTTGAGAAACACTGGGGTAGAGGGTGTGCTCAACACTGACTGTACAAAGTTCATCAATAGTAGTCCCCTTGTGGAGCTGTGTCCCGGTAAAAGTCTCTTCTGCTGCCAGACACAGAATCCCTTTCTTGTCAGTGTGGCAGACTGGGTTACATTGTAAAAGCTTGCTGCAGACTGTTTGTACAAGCTAAATACTGTTTGTACTTGGCTTAAATGTAGCAAGATGATTTGTTACCTTGGGCTATGGAAAATCCTTTGGGACCATGTTACTAAATAACACTCATTAAGACTATCAAGCCAATTAGCTAAAAAAGTAGACACACATCAATGGCAAATCAGGCTGCCTCTCATTTATATGCATATGCAATTTTTTGTATATTTGTGACCCCTGTATCTGCAATCCCTAGCAGCCAAGTAAAACAGTTTTTGTAGAAGTCTACAACAGATTTAGGCCTCGTTCACAATGGCACCTCTGTGTTTAACTTTTCTAAACGCAGGAAAAGGCTTCTGAGAAGTATAAACAACTTTTATGCCTCCCAGATCACATTTCCTGTGTGCAGATGTGTTCCTTCTTTAATGATTTGCCGACCCCGCTATAGCCAAATGATGGCTACAGTGTGGTCGGCTAGTTCTGGGAGGGTGTCTATAGATGTCCTCCCAGAACCATGCCCCCTTGTGCGCCCACTGGGGTGCGCATCCGGCGTGCTCCGTGATTGCTGTGTCCATTAGACACAGCTGATCGCAGATCGTGGTAAAGGGCCAATCACATTGGCTCTTTACCATGTGATCAGCTGTGTCCAATTACACCTGATCACAGCGTGAGAAGATGAGAACCGGTAACCGGCAATTCTGACAGGGGCATTTAGACTGATAATCAGAGCATGGATCATCAGTGCCCTGATTATCAGTACAGCCCCATCAGTGCCACCTATTAGTGCAGCCTCATCAGTGCAGTCTATCAGAGCCCATCAGTGTAGCCTATTTGTGCCAATCAATGCATCCTAATCAGCACACATCAGTGAAAAAGGAAAATAACTTATTTGCAAAATTTTATAACAGAAACTAAGAACACCTTTTTTTTTTAAAAAAAAATGTTGGTCTTTTTTTCATTTGTTTAGCAACAAATAAAAAACCCAGTGGTGATTAAATACCACCAAAAGGAAGCTCTGTCTCAAAAAATGATAAAAGATTTAATCTGGGTACAGTGTTGCATGAACTGTGATTCATAGCACGACTGCGCTGAATTCTGAAAATTTACCTGGGCAGGAAGGGAGTGAAAGTGTTCAGTATTGAAGTGTTTGGAGATTCTAATCAAATGCTGGAGGCACAGAATTCTATTTTTTCTGAACCCCTGGTGCCCAACCTACAGCCTGGGGACCACATGTGGCCCTTCGGCACTTTTTGTGTGGCTGTCAGAGCCCCTGCAGACTCTGTTTTGTGTTTCTCTATAACCTTGTTATATTAGTGATTTCTAGGAGTCTGATGTAGCATGTGTCCAGTCTATGGCTGTCTCCTGAAGCATGTCTCCAGTTTTCAACAACTACAATAGCATGTTCAGTCTCCTGCAGGGTGTCCGCTGTCTCTCACCATTTCCTGTATTATGTCTGCAGTCTCAGCCCATCTCTTATGTCTTGTCTGCAGTCTCTGACCATCACCTGTATTATATCCGCAGTGTCTGACGATCTCTTTTATCATGTCTGCAGGCTCTGGTCATCTCCTGTATTATGTCTGCAGTCTCAGACTATCTCTTGTATTATGTTTGCAGTGTCTGACCATCTCCTGTGTTATGTCTGCAGTGTCTGACCATCTCCTGTGTTATGTCTGCAGTGTCTGACCATCTCCTGTGTTATGTCTGCAGTGTCTGACCATCTCTTATACCATATCTGCAGTCTCTGACCATCTCTTGTACCACGTCTGCAGGCTCTGGTCATCTCCTGTATTATGTCTGCAGTCTCTGACCATCTCTTGTATCATGTCTGCAGGCTCTGGCCATCTCCTGTATTATGTCTGCAGTGTCTGACCATCTCCTGTGTTATGTCTGCAGTGTCTGACCATCTTCTGTGTTATATCTGCAGTTTCTGACCATCTCTTATACCATATATGCAGTCTCTGACCATCTCTTGTACCATGTCTGCAGGCTCTGGTCATATCCTGTATTATGTCTGCAGTCTCTGACCATCTCTTGTATCATGTCTGTAGGCTCTGGCCATGTCCTGTATTATGTCTGCAGTCTCAGACTATCTCTTGTATTATGTCTGCAGTGTCTGACCATCTCCTGTGTTATGTCTGCAGTGTCTGACCATCTCCTGTGTTATGTCTGCAGTGTCTGACCATCTCCTGTGCTATGTCTGCAGTCTCTGACCATCTCTTGTGCCATGTCTGCAGGCACTGGCCATCTCCTG